CTGTTTTTCGAATACTATGAATTCGGACATACTACTCGCCTCGCAAACAGTTTTTCGCTTACTATATAGTATGGAAGTATGCGATTTCGGACGCAGCTTGGGTGTTTCAGGTCTGACGAAATGTTAGACGTGATAATCATTCTTGTTTGAAATGCGCGAAAATTAAACAAAGTCAAGATCTCCGCAGGTCGTGCCGCTGTCACACGTTCGCGGGCTTCACACGGAGCGTGTAAACTGCGCATGCTCCTTGACCTTGCGATTAAACCACGCCCGCGTGATGTCATCAGACCTGAAACACCCAGTATTTAGTCTGTGCCGGATCAATGCCGCCATGGCAATGAAGCTCGTCGCCACGGGGATGGGTTTTCTGCAGTCGTCCTTGCCGTTTTGTAGACAGGTAAATTCGTTCAGATTTGTAAATTCAAAGTCTGTTAGAACTTTGAATGCATTGTATTTGTGTTTGAATGGTATTTAGATTGCAATCACGTTAAGACACTAACATGTTAGAAGACATGATGGTGACATTTATAGTTTACGTCTCCCAAATAGACTAAATTTTGTCATTTGTATTTTTTGTCATTTGTTTGGGTTTTTGACTTGGTGTATTTCAAAAACACACATATCCAAATGTAAAATCTCGTCTGGTGTTCTTCAGGCCTGCAGAAGTTCACTTGGAGTGATGGAGCAGGTCAGGAGCTACTATGTTGACTGGAGAATGGTGCGGGATGTGAAAAGGAGACAAATGGCATTTGAATATGCAGATACAAGACTGCGCATCAATGCCATTAGGAAGAATACTGTTTTGCCAAAAGAGTTACAGGTACGTTCAAAGTCTTGCAGTTTTCATTCAACGGAAGTTTATATATTTAGGTTGTTTTCCATGTACATGTTTGGCTTTTTCTTTTTTCTTTTTTTAGGATTTTAAACCGTCATTAACCTTTATTTCGACTTGTAATGAATGAACGAATGAATTAAATGTCAAAATATTGCTCTGAAACTAGTAATAATACAGGCAATGTCTCTCATGTTTGTTTCCACAGGAGATAGCTGATAAAGAGATAGCCGCACTGCCTCGAGACAGTTGTCCCGTGCGCATTCGCAACAGGTGTGTGATGACATCTCGTCCACGTGGAGTGAAGCGCAGGTGGCGTCTTAGTCGCATTGTTTTTCGGCATTTAGCGGACCACAACCAGATGTCTGGAATACAGAGATCAATGTGGTGATCAGCCATGGGATTGTATAAGTGTTCTATTCTAAAACCTTGTAATAAAAGATATTCTTGCATAAAATGCAAAGACACAGAGCTGCAAAACCAACAAGCACCTGCTCAAATGTTGTATTGTTTTCTACTAAATTGATTTCACATTCAACATTTTTTTTTTGTCTTCAACTGATGGCAAATTGTATAAGTTATTTTATTGTAGATACAATAAAAAGGTGTAATGTGCTACTTTCGTGTTTTGTGATTTTTATTTTCATTTTTAGGTTTTAGGTTACTGGTATCTAACCTTATTTGTGCATTGGCAGATGAGCACTCCTTACATTAAGCAAGTGTAAACTAGTACTTTTTACTTGTTAACAAGTAAATGTTTTTAGTATATTAGAATATTTTCTGGTTGCTGTAATACATCTTGGAAGTTATGAGTACATTTAAATTTTTTTAATTTGGTATATCTTTTTGTATTTTGTTACATTAAGAATAATTTTACCCTATATGTAATGTAATAGGTTTGCAACAATGTAGTTCTTTTTTATTGTTATGATTATGAATATTTGTTTTTTGTAAGAATTATTTAGAAGCGTGGTCATTTATCAAAGGTCACTAAAATGAGGACTCTTATTTTGACATTACTTAACGCGGAAGCAAGAATCCTTCTAGAAGCAACGCATATCAGCGGACACGCAGCGGCCGACTGAAAGCAAAGTTTATTTTCATCACTTCAATTAGAAACTGCAGAAGGTAGTTTTCTAAGGTTTCTTCAGGACAGCGATGGACATCAATGAACTGGTATAATGGACTGTTTGTGCGTGTGTGTGTTATTAATTTTAGTTCGTTTTCATTGTACTATAAAGCTCCGTACACTGGTATAAAGAAGCTTATGTTTTACTAGGATGTTTTATAGGACAATATACACATTGGGTGAATTAAGCATCACTTGGCTGTGAGATGAAAGCTGCTTGCTGATCTCACCTCTGCTGTAATGAACATGTAAACAAGCTTCTTTACTTGATCTCAGATTTGATTTTGTGTCATTAGATCGCCGGTCTTGAGAGTGATTTTAAAGAGATCACGAGTCTGCTGGAGAAATGTGAACGCCAGCGCCTGCGGGATGTGTTAACGCAAGAGCAGAAGAAGATAGAGAAAGAGCTGGCACAGAAACGACAGCAGAAACTGCAGCAAGCCAAGAAAGACTCTGGAGACAAAACGGACACAACACTCAAAGGATACACAGTTAACATTAATAATTATGGTGCGTTCATAACTCATAATAATAGGCATAGGCTATTCCACAATCATATGCATGGTCTAATACACCTGTTATTGTTTGTTTGTTTGTTTGTCTCTCTCTCTCTTAGGATGGGACCAGTCTGACAAATTCGTCAAAATCTACATCACACTTAAAGGAGTACATACCATTCCAGCTGAAAATGTTGAGGCCAACTTCACAGAGAGGTGAGAAATTATTTAAAAATATAAAATAAAAAATATTTAGTTAGGGAGAAATTTGTTAGTGTGTGTGTGTGTGTGTGTGTGTGTATACATTTGCTTATGCATATGAAGGTCCTTTCAACTAAAATATATGGGCAGCATAATGGTGTTCTGAACGTCCTTCTTTTCTGTTTTCACAGAGGTTTCAATGTTCTAGTCAAAGATCTGGATGGGAAGAACCATCAAATGACAGTCAACAACCTTTTATATCCCATTATTGTAGCAGAGAGTAGTAAAAAGGTATGTCACTTTCTTTATGTTATTGTATATTTTGTTGTCAGATTGATTTGTAAAATTGTATAGGTAAAGAGGCCGCACTTCATTTGTTTACAGATAAAAACAGACATGATCCTTATTATGTGCAAGAAGAAGTCAACAAAAAAGTGGGACTGCTTGACACAAGTAGAAAAACAGTCTAAGGAGAAAGAGTGAGTAAAATGCACACACTTTCATTTTCTATTGGTTTTACTTTTTAAAATCCGTATATTAAAGCAAAATTTAAATTGAATGGTGCAGATTTATGCATAAAAAATGAAGATGATTAAAGTATACATTTAAAAATATATTTGACTGCATAATGCACTATTATCAGGGTATTGTATATTTTGTTGTCAGATTGATTTGTAAAATTGTATAGGTAAAGAGGCCGCACTTCATTTGTTTACAGATAAAAACAGACATGATCCTTATTATGTGCAAGAAGAAGTCAACAAAAAAGTGGGACTGCTTGACACAAGTAGAAAAACAGTCTAAGGAGAAAGAGTGAGTAAAATGCACACACTTTCATTTTCTATTGGTTTTACTTTTTAAAATCCGTATATTAAAGCAAAATTTAAATTGAATGGTGCAGATTTATGCATAAAAAATGAAGATTTTTAAATGTATACTTTAAAAATATATTTGACTGCATAATGCACTATTATCAGGGTAACATCATAAGCATCATATTAAATTTGGTTCTGCAAATTATGTTTATAAGTCAAAAAAGCTAATTGAATTGTAACCTGTCTGTTTCAGCAAACCCAACTTGAATGCGAATGCTGATCCAAGCGAGGGGCTGATGAGCGTCCTGAAGAAGATCTACACGGATGGAGATGACGAGATGAAACGCACTATCAACAAGGCCTGGGTTGAGTCTCAGGAGAAGAAGGCCAAAGCAGATGACTTTGACTTCTAAGCCAGCTTACTGATCTGCTTTTACAGTGAAGCACCCAAATTCAACTGCTGCATACATGCCATTCCAATTTATTCAGATTAGTTTATGTATTTTTGTACTTTTTTTTCCTGTTAAATGCAGCTGTTATTGAAAGTTTTGTTTCATGAAGCTTTCCCTTCCCACTGTAATTTTGACTACGTTGATAATTTTAAGTTGCTCCATATGTATTCAGGTAAACAAATGTTCTGTGAATTTTCAGTCAATGTTATTCTTGCACTTAAGACCATGTACCTTAACTGTGGAAAATGAAAATAAAAGAAGAAAATATCATTTATTGCTTGTGGTGGTCATAAAATTAAATATTGCTGTCATGCAATATTATTATCATCATCATGAGAGAAAACAGAGTATCTAAACGAAATAAATCTAAACTAAAAAAATAAAGAAAACTATTTTAATACAATCTCAAAACCCTTTTTTAGATCATATAATTGTATAAATGTGTTTTTTTGTGTACAATGTATAGTCCCTGTAGTTTACCTATCAATCCACAAGGAGGTGTATGAAAACAGGATATACATACGTTTTTTTTATTATATTTACTGTGGTAAAATTATGAGCACAAATGGCTTACTGAAGTCAATATTATTCTTGCAATTAGTACTATATCCCTTTAAAAAATAAATAGAAAAAAGTTAATTGCTTCTGGTAATCAAAAAAAATATTGCTGTCGTGCGTTACTATTACTACAACTCCAATTTATCAGTTCTCATTTATATATTTTATTTATTTAAAAAATTGTCCCCGTAGTTTATTTATCAAACCACAAGGAGCTTTTTATATGTATTGTGGTAAAATCATGGAAATATATGTTTCTAAGTTTATTGTAATATTATTCTAGCACTTAGAACCATATACCTTAAGAGTGTTAAATAAAAGAAAATGGAAAATAAATGTTTATATTTATTTATTTAAGTGCCTAAAAAGACCCATGTTCATAAAATTGCTGTGATGCAATATTATTAAAATGTATGAATGGAACTAAACTAAACAGTGAATTAGTGTTTGTCGATTATAATTTCGGTCACAGAACCATTTTCTAATCTAAAGAACATTATGTGCAAAAAAAAAAGTCCCCGTACTTTATTTGTTGAGCCACAAGGGGGCTCATGAAACCACAAGTTCCTCAGTTCAGTTCTATACAGATGTATATTCCACAATGACGTAATTTGGCTTTATCCACATGATGTCTGATTCAACTCTGAATGATACATAACGATACAGTATGATAAAATGTATTATGTACAATATGATAAAGTGTAACTCATGGTGGGCATCTGTATATTATGTTTTTACAATGAATTAATCTCATTAATTTACATTATTTCATAATAAATCATTATTTATTATGAAATAATGTAAAGCAGATTTGATCATGCTAAACAAATGTTCACATTAAAACCCTTTAATGGCATGTGACATGTCGTCTAGTGCACAAACCCTAAACAGAAGAAAAAAGAAACACTGTCATTAAAGCAGCCAGTGCAAGTCATCTGGAGGGCCATAATCCCGTCAACCATGATTGGATGATGTTCTTAGGTTTTCATTCACTTTTCTGCAACACTTTCTCTCTGATCTTTGATTGAATCTCCAGCAGCCAATGACGTTGTTTCTTTCCAGACGTCCCCGTCTATCGCCCCGCCCATGCCCATGACGTCACGTATATAGCTTATATACTGCAGGACTCCGGCGGCGTCGGGCATGTTTGACTCACAGGACTAGAGAACTTCGCCAGACTCTGGGACTTCACAGAAGGAGTTTCTTTTCTAGGGCGAAGGATCTATATTAATGAATGGATCCCGCTTGTTTTACCTCAGCGCAGCGTCTTTCCTGTAAAATGATGAATCCGGATTTGTTCAAACCGTCTCAAGCGCCTCAACCGCCCGCCAAGCCGAACCGGAGTAAATCAGAGCACGTTAAAACGGAGCTCGCGCAGGTGGTGGTTGACGCAAAGACGGGAAGGTCGTACTGTAAAGGAAAGCTTTTGGGAAAGGTACCAATCTGTTTTTCAATGTTTGAAATACATCGGAGCTGGTCATTTTAATTATTTATGCGGTTTGTCACCGTCTCTTTTATCGCGTTTCCTGATGCGCTCAAACGAGGACGCTGCTCAATGTATCGGTCTCGCGCGTGCTAGTGCGGGTTCGGCTGGTTTTGGGAGATGGTGCACCATAACCACTGGACCGCAGTCCGCTCTGTCTGTGTTTCTAGAACCGGTCAGCTGGTTTTCCAGCACTGCATCCTATGTTGCTTTCAAATATTGCCCATTATGTATGATTTTCTGCAAAAGACAGTATTTGCAATTTACTATTGGATGGTGTTTTAATACGATTCCAGATTTGATTCGATGTCAGGAAAAGACGAATGGATGAATGAATCAGTGCATCAATGAAAATGATGCTGCATTTCTCATGAGCAGTGGAACCAATGACCACTCTCCCGGTTTTGTTCACTTGTTTACAAAGCAAGGCTCCTCTTTTAATTAATCGATTGATTATTAGTAGTCTCGTTAATCCCAGTTTTTAAAGTGCCGCATCATTGTGCGATACTGTAAGGAGGGGTTGGTCGATTGGGAAAAGAATACGTCATTCCTTTGTACATGTGTTGGGACCAAAGTCAAAACTAAACTAAGGATTGGCCCAAAATATTTGAAATTGGCGACAAAGAAGAGATTTATTTTAAAAGAGAGAGAGACAATTTCGTTGTTTGTTAAAAAAAAACTTCAAACAGAATTTGCTAAACGAATCTGCTAATAAACGTAGAATTTGCCATTTTTATGTGCAGATTTATGATGCATCAGATGTAAATGGCTTTCCAAATTAGACAGATAGATAGATAGAATAGCCATAATTTTGTTTATAGCAGTTGCGAAATGTTTGTTTGACAGTTTTTTTTTTAATTATTATTATTGTGCAAAGGATAAAAATGCCCTTAAATCAATTCCAGATTGCAAATACTAGTCTGGATGTATTGACGGTCTCTGAACTCCATTTAAGCTGACTGCCTAGACAGCATTCTTGACATTAGTGATTCTGAAAACGTAGAATCAAATGGTCAACTCGCTGGTAATCTCCAGATATGTTGTCTTTGTAAGCAATTAGCTAGTTTTTCAGACACAATGAGTTTTGAGACTGTTGTACAGGCACCTGCAGCCAAACGCTTTAGCTAATCATAACCTTGAGTTGAAACGCCATCTTTTTTTTTTTTCCTGTTGAAACATTCTGAGTGACTTAATATATAATGGTTTTTGTTTTAGGGTGGTTTTGCACGATGTTATGAGATGACGGATCTTGCCAACAACAAGATGTATGCTGTGAAAGTTATTCCTCAGAGCAGAGTCTCAAAGCCACACCAGAGAGAGAAGGTAAATGGACAATAGCCAAAAACACGTGAATCATTCTATTTCTAGCTGCCTCTCTAATGTTTATTCATTGTTTTTGTCCCACAGATCATCAATGAAATCGAGCTTCACAAAAGCCTCCAACACAAGCATGTGGTGAAGTTTTCACATCATTTTGAAGACCAAGACAACATTTACATTTTCCTTGAACTCTGCAGCAGAAAGGTGAGTTGCTTTGCTAAAAACAGACCTCTCATAGTTGGATTTGGTGAATACAATGCATTTACTGTAATCCTGTGCTTCATATTTACAGTCTCTGGCACACATTTGGAAAGCAAGACATACGCTGACAGATCCAGAAGTGCGTTACTACCTCAAACAGATCATATCTGCGCTCAAATACCTCCACAACAAAGGCATCCTCCACAGAGACCTCAAACTAGGTATTGTTTTTTTTTTTTTATTTAGCCTGCTGTTTAAATCATAGCATGACATCCATCAAATGCAATTGGTTTGAGAACGCTCTAATTTGTTTTTGCAGGCAATTTTTTTGTGAATGAAAACATGGATTTGAGATTAGGAGATTTTGGGCTGGCAGCAAAGCTGGAGACAGTCGAGCAGAGGAAGAAGTGAGTTTACGTGCCTTCTTCCTCATTAACTTTAATAGAAATACACTTTAATGTAAATTGCTGTAATGTAAAATGATGTAAATTACTCTTTTACAGGACCATCTGCGGGACTCCAAACTACCTGGCACCAGAGGTATTAAACCGACGAGGCCATGGGACAGAGTCCGATGTCTGGTCGCTGGGTTGTGTAATGTAAGTCTTATCAAGTCTACTCTGCACTACTCTACATTATTCTTGATTTATGATGCATCAGTTGTGGCAGCCCTGATGACGAGTTCCTTTCTTGTCTATTTAGGTACACACTCCTATGTGGGAATCCACCTTTTGAAACCTTAGACTTGAAAGAGACCTACAAGTGTATTAAGGAAGTGAGATACAGCCTTCCTCGGTCCCTCATTCCATCCGCACAGAAGCTGATCTCCGCAGTCCTTCAGAAAGACCCCTCTGACCGCCTTACACTGGATCAGATACTGGCCCACGAATATTTCACAAAGGTTAGCATACTAATAGCCCTGAGTAGTCCTTCATCTGTGTCCAAATACATTTAAACCTTTTCCTTTTAACTTAATTATAAAGAACAGATTTTTTTAAGTGTTTACTTTGTTCTTAGGCAGTTCCTTATTTTAATTCTGTAGTCCTCTAATCATTTTTTTTTTTTCCTTAAATCCATCTACTATTTAACTCCCTCAGGGCTTCACCCCAGAAAAACTCCCTCCCAGCAGCTGTGTGATGATGCCTGAGCTTAATCCACCCAGCCCCGCCAAGAAGTTCTTCACCAAGATGGCTAAAAGCCTCTTTGGCAAGAAGAAGTCGAAAGGTATGTGCCTACTTCAGCTACCAAAAGTGATTTTTAATAGTTTTAGTTGACAATAACACCAATGGTTTGGATTCAAACCTTAGTTTCTGACATTAGTTTCTTTGTTATTGACATGAAATGTCATTGCAGCTGTTGAAAAGACGCCTTGTGAGGAGAAAGATGACATTTCTAAACTGTTTTCCGGCATGGTGAAGCACTCCATCGGTCGGCA